CGCCCCCTGATCTCATTGGAATGGCTATAAATCATCTTACACAGAACAACGTTGCTAGTAGACAGATTTTAGCTCAGAGCCTTTTAGATCTAAGTATGTGAGATAATTTTCAGTGGTATTCCGATCCAGGGTTGGCTAGATCAATAGTCCAGAGCAATGATACAGTGATTATATTTGAAGATCTATGTGCTGATCATTAGCTCAGAAGAATTTGCTGGGCCACAGATTGTGCGACAATAACCTTATTTTTCGATTGAAAGATATTTCTAACCATATAAAATGCATACAGCTAATTTACTTGATCAGCTTGCGCCTGAATTAATACCCTTTATTATAAAGAATTTATCGATACAGAATCTCTATAATTGTAATAGCATAAATGATACATGGAAAAAAGAAGTTAATCTCGAACTGATTAAAAGACCCAGAGAGGAGTATCTTAAATATCGGAACCTTATTTTCCACAAGTTGTATTTTCGGTCTGAAGGTTATTATCAAACTGCTGAAAAAATGTGGGATGCTTGTAAGAAGATTGGATATGACTTTACTCATGCAGAGATCGAGGATTGGCTAAACAAACAGGCCATATATCAGATTCACAAGCCTCCGCCGAAGTTTGTTCGTTCACCTCGATTAAGACCAATTCGGAGCAGTGATCACCAGCTCAGAAGAATTTCCTGATCCATACACAGCGACTGTCTCTTCATTTTTTTCTTCGAGATTTTAAATTCACTCTTCTAAAGTCAAGATTATGGTTCGTAAAAAGAATAAAAGACATATTCAATCTACACCATCGGTAACTTCAACATCAGCCAATGAGACTCAGCCCAAAAGTTTGATAGTTACGGATACAGAATTGCAAGAACTTATTCATCAAGGTCTAGTAGTTGATGAAGTTTATGAAGTATTATCATATGATCGAAAAAATATGTCCCTGAGCGTCTTGTCGCTCAACCACGCTAGGTCCTGGCTTCATCACCCGAATTTATGAGAAGGCAGGTTCGAAAACCAATGCGATAATCCAAGAGAAAAAGCATATCACTCCTTAATGAGAGAACTCTTTAGTATGAAGGCATTTCGTGATATATCCAGTCAAGATAGACTCATCTCCAAATCGGAATATTATAGAAATAAAATAGATACTCACATAACTAATTTCATCCATTCTAATGGGCAAGGTAAAAAAGGATAGTTAAGTCGTGGATCAGTTGTGATATTACATCAACTGACAACTACGGAAATAGTGGTAGATTTACTTAATGATGCTGAAAATAAAGGTCCTGAAATATGTGGACAAATAATCATTTTCTAAAAGATATCCTCAAAAGTCACGTAAAATTTAAAAAAATTTCAGCCAGAGGCCCGGTCAAAATCATATGTTTTATTTATTTTGAATACTTATATACAATGTATTAGTTATACATATAGATCATGTCATCTGAGCTTGAATCATTGAAACAGCGTATCACTGAACTTGAGGTTGAGAATGCAGAGCTTAGGAAAGAGAATACTGTGATCCCTGAACTTAGAAACAAGCTCTCAGTGTCTGATGCTGAAATAGCTGAACTTAAGCATAGTAATATCGAGTTTCTAAGAGCGAATAAGGAATATAACGAGAGGCGTGATGCTGAAAATGCCAAACTTAGAGCCGGAATCGTGGAGTTGAAATCTGAGAATGCTGAGCTTAGAGATTGTATCACGAAAGTGGAACAGAGGCAGATGTTAAATGATAATACTCCTAATGATAATACCCCTAATGATAATACCTCTAACAATAACTCATCTAACTTCAATTCAGATGCGGTCCACCATGAAAAATCACCACAGGAGGAAGAGGTGGATAATTTTTTGAATGAGACGAATAAGAAAAGCGTTGGTGAAGATATTAGGCGACGTAATAAGGAGAAGAAACTCCAGCGTGAATCAGTCGACCAGAAGAAAAGCACCGCCGATACTGCTTATGTACCAGAAACGGTTAACAATCTTGAGAAGTCATATGAGCCAGAGATTAATGAAATTACTAATTGTAGTTCCTTAGAACCAGCTCATGAAATAGAAGTAGTTGCTTCGCAATCGGTCATTGCAGATATCCCTCAGGAAGAAATCTCTGTGGTGGATTCAAAAGTGACGCACGATATAAAACCCAGGGTTTCTGAAAATTCTGAATTATCACGTGATGCAAAACCTGTGAACACAGTTCACACTTTTTCTGAAAATTCAAATTTGTCAGATGAGAGAGAAACCATTACCAATACTTCACCTACTTTCTGCCAAAAGATAGAGATAGAAAGACCAGAGGAAGAAGATTCTTCTGTTGATAGCTTACCAGGTCCCAAAGGGACCCCACCAACCATAAATGATGTGAATAGCCAGACTTTCTCGAACATTGCTACCGAATTCATACAAGATTTGTTGGAAGAGCTACTCGGTCCCAGAGGGACCCTCTCATCTGATAATTTACTTCTGAAAGATGTAAAGTTTTCTTCTCCCAAAACCATAGTTCCTGGATCAATAAGTATTAAGAGACTTGCAAATTCATTCTGCCAAGCAAATGGTGCAAGAAATAAATCGATCATAGCGAAGCAAACAGAGATTTCATTATGGTGGTGCTATTCTGAAAAATTCGAAGACAAGTTTGTGGAGCTTAGGTCTGGAAATAAAAAACTTACAGATCAGACCGCAAGAAAGCAGATTTACAATGAAATGAAACTGTATCTTACAGGCGTTTCCGATGTATATTTACGCAAGATAACAAGCAAAGCAAGAAAAATCAATAAGCTATTTGGTTATGAATATGATCCTGTAACTCTGCAAAAGATAAAAGGTATAGGCAGACATATGATTCAGCGGGTCACTTATAGTGTTGATAGTATTTCAAGACTCACTAATCCTCAAATCGAATACATCATAGAACAGGTCAAATCGAAGAGAATCACTGATAGAGTTATGAGAACGAAATCGCCTCAACCATAGCCAATACATCAGCTAATAACCCCTCAGATGATAATTTTAGTGACACATCTAATATTACAGATTATTTTAAGGAAGAAGGAGCGAATGATTCGGCTGAAGGTGAGAAGGATTCTAAAAAGTCTAGAATAATCGCTAAGGCAGACAATGGTGACGATGTGTATTTTTATTCCGAAGATGAGGAAGTGAAAGAGGTGAATGAAGAGATTCCAAAGGTACCAGATGTGATAGATGATGATAGTGACTGTAGCCACGACAATGATTTCGAAGAAGAGATGTCAAACGATTCAGATGATGATGGATATAATAGATATAATGGAAACAGTGTATATGATGGCGGTTATTATTATCATGATGAAAAATGTAAAAGGAAAACCTCACCAATGATGAATCCTATCATATCTCCGGTATCTGGCCCGCCTTCTCATAAATTCGAAGGCAGAAAAAGGATTTTTTGATCAGGAGGGATAGATTTTCTTTTTTCGAATTCATGAGAAAAAAGGGAGATACCCTATCTGCCTTGGATAGTGTTGGAAATTATTTTTTAACTTAGACGCTCATTGCTTGGTGAACTTTATTCGCTTGAATGGCAAGAAGATCCGGCCGATTTGATCATGAAGTGCTCTCTTTCCTACTATGCTTCAAAGGAGGGGAAATAGCTTATTTTGATAGGTTATTTTTTTCGAGAAAAAGGGCTGAATCAAGATCGGCAAAATTAATAGACATCAGAGTTACCATATTTATTTCATGTTTTGCGACGATCGTTGCATCTGGGAGTCAATTTAGGATTTGTCAATTTCTAACCCCAGCGCTGGATGTGGCACAGTAAATTTTCCCAACTGTAAAGGCTATTTTGGGTTCCTGTGATCCATATACTTCACATCTTGGCTTGTTTTGAAGCTCTCAGTGCCCTGCATCTGGTCGAACTGGTTTGGGATTTCTACAATATCTGGACCGCGT